AAGAAGTAGATGTCTAGTCCTATTGTTTCTGTCCTTTTAATACAGCTTCTTTTAAATTTAATAAACACTTTTCAACTTTTACCTTACTCTTTGAGGTACTGTAATTGTAATTCAACATTTGTTTTCATGTTTTTTGCTTCATTGTACTTCTTTAGATATGTGGTCAGGTTCTTCACTTGAAGGAATTTATTCAATTTATTATTCTTAAAGCCATTTTAATGCCAACACACTTACCATGCCATATAAATCATCCCTGTGCTTGCTTCAAGAAGCCCAAATTCTAATCTGACCCATTGTTCAAGCTGCAAGGGTTGTAGCCATTTTTTGAGAACCAGCTTGAGGCTTGGCTAAATTATAAGCCCTACTTTGATGCATGGATTGGATATAGGTGTGTCCAATATACCTATATTAAATTAACATAGAAGGGGCCATAAGGAAAAGTTACTGATTGCTTCTGAAATGTCTTGGCTCCAAAATGAAGATCAAATGTGATAGAAGGCCACCTCAACGTCTGTGGCAGCAACGTTGCTAAGCACCACCCTACTTCATGTGCTGTACTGCTATCTAATCTTGTAAGTCCTAAGTCTTTCAGTGCAAAACTGAGAACTCTATTGCTATGTTAGACGCTTTCTCATGAGTGGGGGCATAGTGGGTACATACAGTTTTGATAACTGTTCTAACACGCACTCATGGAAAGAAGCCACATGGGTTCTGAACCACGTGTGCTGTCGCAGGAGGGGGCACATCATCCTGGTGACGATTTCTTTCAAGCAGTGCTTCTTGAAGGTGGTCTGGAAACTTCTGGTGGGCCCCAAAAACCCTTTCAAGAGGTCCACAAGGTCAAAACTATTTTCCTAATGATAGTTAGATGTTATTTGCCTTTTTCACTCGCATTCTGTCATGAANACAGACTTTGTTTTTACTTAATTTTGTGAAATTTTTGTTGTGTGGGTTTTTTGTTTGTTTTTTTCCCCCATTTTTCTTCTTGTCTGTGCCACAATCACTTCTTCAGAGGAAGCAATACAGTCTAAAAAATTTGGAAACCCAAAAGTTTCCAAAACCTGTATTTGGCTGGTGGTTAGGTCTGTCTCCTCATAACCAATGCCTATTTTAAAAATGCCTTTTTGAAGAATTTATCTGTATAACTTTTAAGGGATTTCAGAGAAATTGCAAATCATCAAGCTAGCAAAGGTAACAAATGGCCATTTCTTAGAATTAAGTTCCTAATTTTATAAATACTATTTCCTTATTTTCTGTCATCCTTATTTCGTTAAGAACAGACCAGATATTCCTTAGTTCTAAACTAAACTTGACTTTCAGAATTTTGAACTTACTGAACTGAAAAACTATGGAACAAACTGGTTTTATAAAACCCAAAGCCTCAGACTTCTGGGGGAGAGAATCGTAGTTCTGGGAGTGGGGTGAGGAAAAAATTTGATCTGATAGCTGAGTAGGGACCCTAAGTCAAGAGAGTGCTGCAAACGAAAGAGAAATTACTAGGTAGGAACCACAGTTCCTGGCAGGCATGACATTGGTGCATATATTTAGTGCTCAACATGCCGTTCGTTTGGTGGCCAACTGAACCTGTTTTTCCCCTAAAGTTTTCAACTCCACCTTTTAATAAAAGCCAGTACAAAAATAAGGTTTTGTGTTTATTCTTCTCCCTTTCCTGAGAGTGTTATTCTGTAAAGCCATTATTAAAACTTGGAAACATGTTTTTTGACAATAAAATAATTGTCTTGTGCTTTTTAAATTGTTAACTTTGTATAGATCGNTAACTTTATGTAACATCAGATTACTTTGATTTTTGTCCATTTGCTAGGTGAAAAATGGACAATATCTCATTTGGGGGCCAGTGAATCATCATATTCCTTTAAATACAAATTCTGTCTTCTGAGTCTCCCCAACCCTGTAGCAATGGTCAAAAGATTACTGGACAATTTTAATGCCGTTCAGAGGGTTAAATTTGAGGCTCTTCATCATCAGTTAAAATAGCAGATTGGTATTCAAAGCTTGTGCTTATGTCAAGGAGAAGGTCTTATAATAGATCTTTGGAATTGTTTTGTTTTCCAACTTAGTTGTCAAAACACTTTCACATACAATGTGATGGAGTATTGTTATTTTCAATAAAATGGTGACAAAAGCATGGATTGTCACCGCCCGAAAGTGTGTGTGTTTTCAGTATACCCTGGTGAATTCATCATTTCTTGGTTCCAGTTGTCATAAGTGTTTTTCATGCATTTTATTTTCACAACAAGAAGAATGAATGCCATAGAAAGTACATTGATTAAGATCTAGTAAGCTTTAAGTTAAGATGATTTGGGAAATCATATAAAAACACTTGCTTAGTCAAAACTTTGTAAAAGTTTGCGACTCTTTTTCTTTGCTTTTTTCAGTCTGCATTACAAGAACTTGAAGAATTGAAACAAATTGTTCCCAAAGAATCCCTCGTGTACTTCTTAATAGGAAAGGTAAAGATTGGGGCCATAGTCCTTAACTGTGGCTTTCATAACAAATACTAACTTGTGAAGAATAAATGTAATACTTACTGTGCAACATCTATGGAGCAAATTCAACTAGAGCTCTGAACCAAATGCTCTGGGAATAAAGAATGGATTTAGTTTTAACACTTAAGAAGATGATATCCTAATGAAGGGGCAAGAAAACACAGCCCATAATCCTAACCCACTATGGCTTTGGAAGTATACCAGCAAGGACTTGAACCAATGGCCAGTAATGAGTTCCTAACTTGAGACTACCTCATTGAAATTCCTGAGCTTCCAATTATCAATAAAATACTTACCAAAAGAAGAAAATTAATGGCAGTACAGACTGGGCTTCCAGATGCCAGTTGGTTAAGAGTAGCTGGGAACAATGGACAGATGTTGGGAGTTGAAATAACTTCATTTAAAACCAGTGTAAATGAATGCTAATCAAGCAGTTTCCAGTCCATTTCTTTCCAATGTCATTGTTCTATTCAGAGTGCGATTTTATTGGAAGCTCACTCACTACCTGAGAGAGGCAAGGAATTCTAATAATATCTGAATATATTAAAAAGAAGTCTAAAGTTTGGTATGAGTTCTTCTGTGGGATGAAAATGCCCTACTCATCAGAATGGGTTTGTAGCATATAAATCAGGAGCCTAATTTAAATTACAAATGCTTAGGATTTTATAGTTGAAGCTCACAACTTAATGAAAAATGTAGTGCTACTGTTTATTTTTAGGTTTACAAGAAGTTAGGTCAGACGCACCTCGCCCTGATGAATTTCTCTTGGGCTATGGATTTAGATCCTAAAGGAGCCAATAACCAGATTAAAGAGGCAATTGATAAGCGCTATCTTCCAGATGATGAGGAGCCAATAACCCAAGAAGAACAGATCAGTGAGTATCAGCCATAATACTCTGGTTACTCAAACCAGAGAACTAGCGAAACACCACATGAGAGTTAAGATGGACCAGATGTGTTTTTAATTTTATTTTTTTAACCATGGTATATTCTTTATACCAAATGGAATTTTAAGGAAATTTAACAGCATGATATAATAACGAAGTACATATGGAATCAGTTAACTAGCCTCAGTTCTGGTTCAAGTTTGTTGTGTGGCTTTGACAAATTCATTGCTGATTTTTACCTGGG